TTAAAACGCTCCAAACGCGCACCGTCCGATCGGTAGAGCCACTGACCACTGTGCTGCCGTCTTCGGACATCTGTGATGACCAAACACCACCCGTATGACCGATCAAAGTTTGCAGGCACTGAAATATATATACGTACATATATGTATACATATGTATACATATATATACATGCATATATACATATATATATATACATATACATATATATATGTACATATATATATATATATATACATTAATACACACACACAAACAGGCCCGTGGCAACATGCGCTTTGCGCTGCTGTTACACAGCGCAGAACGCATAAGAAACAAAAAGCCCTTTCCTTTCTTCCTTTAATCAGCAACTGCTAATACTCGGCTAGGTTCGGCCGTGCTGGAAACTACGATTGCGGTGTGCATTCTCCGATGAGAGGTTGGGGAAGAGAAAGGTATTGGTTTAAATCTAACAAAAAGGGCAAAGGAACGGAATACTGACTGGAAATGAGCCAAATTTTTATTTGGAGGTCGAAATTGGAAAAAAGGATGGGCGCTGTTGAGAGGAGCAAGGAGGAGAGGGAGGGCATGGGGTGGGGGAAGGAGGGAGAAAAAGGGAAGAGGGGATGGATAATGAGGGTTTATAGTACTAGGCAAGAAACTATTTGCTGAGTGAAAGCTAATAAGCTTGTGCTAACATCCCAGAATCTTACCGAAAACCCGGCGATAGTATGCGGCTGTGGTTCAAGTAACCTAGTATCAGTAACAGTCTTCACAAATGGCATCTCCAACCAACAATTGTGCATTTTTTTAACTTACGCATTATTTTGCCAATAACAGATGATGTAAGGGAAGAACGCTCACCACTGCCTTACTGCTTGACCATATTTTTAGTGTGTTATCGTCTGAACCGGTTACAATCAAATCACCACGAATCTGGAGGCATGTTATCACATGTTCATCGTGTCCCTTCAGTATGCATGAGCCTCGAAGAGGAAGAGAGCGCCAGTTTGCTTGAATGCGTTGATGGCGTAGATAAACTGCCTTCCATTTTGACCTAGCAAAAACGTACAATATCTAATAAAACAAGCAACAACAGATTAAGTTCCAAATGAGAGATCGCCACTCACCTCGATAAGCAAACATTTTTTGGCTCATCATCCGCACAATATCTGAAAAAAAAAAGACGTTCTTAAACCCGTTTTCTGATGCCGCCGTGCCACTGAGGAAGAAGCACAAACGGCAGTGCAGGAAATACTTAGCTTCTTCAAAGTTTCTGATATAACGTCTGTCAGATAAGGCAAATGAACCACAGGACTTTCTACTGCCTTTCACTCTGCCTCAAAAAATCGAAAATTTACCGTAGCCGAGGGGAACGATAGGCACTGAACAATGCAAAACGATAAGTAGTCACCGGACGATACCCGACAATTTCAATACCGCTCGTTGACGCTGTTTCTATCCAAGCGCCGTTCTTCCGATCACTGAAAAAATAACGGCGTGCACCAAGGCAACCGGCGCGATAATGCGTTTTGCGCAGTTCCATTCAGCGAGATTTGCATGCTAAGCATTTTCACTGCTTTGCACTCTGGTCTATGCAAAAATAGTTGAAATGTTGTCTCGCTCCTAACCTACCAAATTTAGCATTAAAAATTTCATGCACCGGCGCGTGAAGGCTGAATTTGAAATACCCTTCCTAAATCAGCCCCCTATTTTTGAGCTAAAACTTTTAAGTGGTTGTATGTGAGACCCGGGCATACCTGGAAACTAAATTTGAGTTCATGTGGTCCCTGCATAGGCATAAAACATCCTCCTGAAATTTCCAATCTGCTACCTCTTCTGCTTCCAGATAATTTTTCTCGCCAAAACATTCACGGGGACGTCAACACCCAAGCGTACGTGAAAGCCGAATTTGAATTTGCAGGGTCGTACGTGGGCAGGGGAGAGTACCTTAAAATTTCAGCTTCTCAGTTATCATGTTCCCATAATAATTTTCCCCGCCAAAACTTTCACAGAGTCGTACATGGGCAGGGGACAGCACCTTAAAATTTCAGCTTCTTAGTTTTCGTGTTTCCATTATAATTTTCCCCGCCAAAACTTTCACAGGGTCGTACCTGACGGCAAGACCTAGGAGAAAGCTGAATTTAAAGTAGTGGAGTTGTACTTCGGCAGAGGACATTACCGCAAAATTTTAGCCCCTTAGCATTTGTGATTCGCGAGGAATTTCTTCGCCAAAATCTCCACGAGGACGTATGTGATACCCAGGTGCGCAGAGAAGTTGAATTTAAATTTGTGAGGTCGTATGTGGGCAGAGGTAATTACCCTGAAAGTTCAGCTTCCTAGCTTTCACAGTTCTCGAGGTAATAATTTCCCCGCTAAAACTTTCATGGGGTAATAAGCGGTACCCCAGCGCAGGGGAAGGTTGAAATTAAATTTGTGGGGTCACTACCTCCAAATTTCAGCTCCATGGCTTTCATAGTTCCCGAGGCAATAATTTCTCAGTCAGAACTTTCGCTGGGCCGTGTGTGATATCCGAGCGCGCGGGAAGGAACGTTATATTTGTGAGTGGTTGTATGTGGACAAAGGGTGCGGGAGGGATTATTCCAAATTTGCCGGGTCATATGCGGGCAGACGAGACTACCGTAAATTGCAGCCCTCCAGCTTTCGTGGTTCCCAAGATAATAACTTTCTATGCCAAAACTTTCACGAGGTCGTACGTAGTACCCAGGTGCGCGAGAAGGCTGAAATGAAATTTGCGCGGTCACAACTGGGCGAGAAACATAGCAGAAAAATTCCAGCTTCTCAGCTTTTTTGGTTTCCGAGTTGAAATTTGCGGACAAGATGCATCAGATACATATACACAAAAAAACACACGTACGCAAACAGACAACCCTGTGACAACATGCATTTCGTGCAACTGTTGCACAGCACAAAACGCACAAAAAAAGGGGCAGCTATGTATCACTGTGCGGTCACCAATGAGGTGGCTAGAAAGTGTCGAATACGCGTAGCCGAGTAATAAGGCCAAACAACAAAGGTGTCCGCGAAAAGGCCATCGAACGGCATCTCAGTGGTGCTACAGTTATACATCGTTCCCACAACGTCACTACAGTGTGTTTATTTGTAATATTTACGATAAGGGTTCTAAAGAGCGAAGGACTTAACCACCCACTTTTCATGACATCTCCTGAGAGAGGAATGGTCAACGGCCTCACCAATATGAAAGCAGCACTGGCAAACAACACCATTCTCTCAAACACGATCTTGCGCGCCGGCTATTCACCCAATAATACGATACCTTCTTTCGCAAGATGCTTCAAATCGAAACAAACCCACCGTAAAACAGACAGAAATATGTGTCTTTAAGTATACTAGGGAAATGGGATGAAGCAGAAAACGTGATCTATGGAAAGACCCAGGTACCTGCTAGCCAGAGAATAAAGCAGGCAATATTTCTGCGAAGCTTTCACGAATTTTTTAAAATACAGTGTGTATAAACAGAAACAACCTTGGCTCATCCAAAACGCTCACATTCATTTCCGCACACTTTTTCTTCCACAAACGATTGTCTTCTGCTAAATGATGCCAGTAACGGCATGTAAGCGATACGCGGGCGATATCAGCTGGCGATAAGAAGCTCATCACATGTAAAGCTATCTGAACATATTACAATGGTTAGAATTATCTTCTTCCTCCTGTTGCCGCCTTCAACGCACAAGTACCATTTCGGATACGATTATGGGACCTCATCCTTGGTCAGACAGCAAAAAAAGCAACTTTAATAAATGATCAGTATCGACCAACTCCCAACTGCCCACCTTCTTGGCAGAAATGTTGACAACGATTTCTCATAATCCGATACAACGAAGCCCTTCAAAATGTTTCGCTGCTAGCGTACGCCAAAATTGGTCCCCGGAAATGGTCGGCCACAAAGCGTAGCATGAAAAGTGAATTCGTCTATGAAAACGATAGGAAGGCTTACCTCATTTGGCAATTCTCCGATAAAATCTTTCTGGAAAAAAGGCTCGATCATACTTCGCAAGCATCGAATATGTTCCAGTGAGCATTCATCCACTAAGTACGTCAGTGCAACTGCTTGTTCGGATCGCGACATTATCTTAATTATTCATTCGTTGATACCTTCCAGTCGGCTACATTGCTTTCTTGAGCATATTAGCCGGCTGCTACCTTAGTGTCACGTCTTCCCCCCTCCTCCCGTCTCAACGACCTCATTACAGATGCTAGAGGGCAGCATTTGCAAATGGCAAGACACACACGGATCAGACGCACGCATCATGTGTTTCTCTGCAACAGAATGCGTACGAAAGTGACTCGCTTGGTGGCTAAATGTCTAAAATTTTACGAAGCCCCGGTTTAGAGGTTAATTCGCTTCGATGTTAACCTGGAATATTTCAGAAATCTAGAAGCAATGAACGATTAGAAGAAACCCCAATGCATTAATATCCGAAGTTCTTCATGGTGCACGACAGAAAAAATAATGCCCCCCCCCTCCCCCGAGGAAACAGTTCGTTTTAATTTAGCGCATATTCAACAGTATTCGCAGCAAAATTTGCTTATATCGCAGAAAAGATAGTTGGAAACGTGCAGCTAGGGGGATAAAAACAATTTAATGATCCATGGGCTCAGTAACTGAGAAAAGCTTCGCAAGCAAAGGGGCGAAGCTAGGAAAACATTCTACTTTCATCCCCAGCTACGTCGCCGCAGTCAAAACACCGAGCTAAACTGCACCACGGAATTCAAGAACAAACAAATAACTGGAAAAAGGATAACTTGAGATAATTTAAAGGCAGAGATCGAGAACATAATCCCATAAAACTTGACTTAGGGACACAGAAGGAGGGGAAAAGAGGTCGACTACCTCGTCCGGTATTTTCAAAAATTGCATACAATACGCTGTTTGCACAATGTACCTTGAAGCGCCCGACCCAATCAACCACATCTTCCGTCAGTTCGTTTCCAGCTTCATGACAATTCTCCGAATCTCTTTTGTCTTTACCCTCCTCCGTCATTTCCTCACCATCATCAACCTCACCAGCGCCCTCATCGCCAGCGGCCGGGGATTCAGGTGAATCCAACTGATAGCTACTCAGACTGGAACCGTCGCGTTGATATTCAGCGAATAACCCTTCTCCGGAAAAGTTTTCGTACTGCTGTAGATACTGATTCCCGCCTGAAAAAAGAACCACACATTTCTTCAGATTTATGTTTCCTGGAATGGCAGAAACAAGTGGCATAAAATCGGCAAAGAAATGCCTGCTTATAGGACAAAACAGATGAAAATAACCAGTCGAGTGGTAAGCTGGCAATAAACTTTCGCACTGCGCCAGCTTAATGACCGCATGAGATGGCTGCACAGCCGATGACCGCGACGGTTCGGAACGGCTAACCTGCGCACATCCACAGCATGCGTCATCCATCCGAACCGCTCCGCTGAAAGTTAGCATGATAAAGCGGGAACAGATGCCTGAAACGACTGGACACTCACCGAATCACACACAGAAAAGCACCTCCCATGTCCACCGTCAGATGAAATTCACTGACAGTCTCGCAAGACAAATCTCGCTGAGATTATCTCCACAGCTGAACTGGCCTTTTTCTGTTTGCACGGTCAGGCTTAGACAAAAGAACAGAACAAACACAACGGGAAGTGGACACACACACACACACACACACACACACACACACACACACACACACACACACACACACACACACACATACATGCACACAGAGAGAAACAAACAAAAGCCATTACAATTCACTTTACTACAGAATTAAACACTTCAGTGAGCGCCTCCACTTGCAACCTATTCATTTTCTAAATAAAAAACATTTGAGAGGCGTTTTCTAAACATTCCCGAAAAAACTGAGAATTTCTTTTATTTTTAGGGTGTTGTTTTCAGAAATATATTCGAGAAAATTTTCCTCTTTTATAACAGAAAATTTTCATAGAAAACATTTCGTCTGAGAAAATTTGCATGAAAAAGAGAGATGCAGCGGAAGAAAACGCAGCAACAGCCACCAGCTGCTCATGTCACCGAAGCAACGCTTATCAATGAGTGAAGGCGCCCGTATTCCTTCCCCAAGAGCATTCGCACCACCCAACCACAAAACTGTTCCCATGAAGTCCAAAGACAGGAGAGAGAGAAGGGAGGGGAGCAGACAAGACGCACGCGCCACACCGATGCGCAGACGGACGGCGAATTCGAGTTGTTTCTAATTTTGTTTAAAACTTTTTATGCGTTTTTGCCGTGCAGCGCTATTTGC